TCAAGCAGAAGACGGCATACGAATTGCTTTGGTACGAATTGAGCCCGAGTCAAAATCAAGATATCCAGATCATAATCGTAAGATCTCAAAGGCACTTGACGCTCACGATAGGAAAAGTCGCGGAACTCTCCTTGAAGCAATTTGCCAACGTAAGAATTTAGCAAATTTAATAGAAGCAAGGAGAGAATTTTTTTTAATTTACTCTGAAAATCATGTTAATCGTAGGACAACATATAAGTATTTCGATGAATTTTATATGATTTTTTTTGGTTTTTATTATATATTATAACAAAAATTATTGTAGTACACAGTAAATAAAGTAGAGAAAATCACATAAAATTTGTCAAAATACTATGTTGTATCATGATTAACATGATTTTCAGGGTAAATTAAAAAAAAAATTTCTCATCATTCTCTCCGTGAATGATGAAAAACATTTGTGTGTTCTCACGTATGATATTTTGACAATTGTTTCGTAATCGCTGCATCTTGACATAATATTCGGGTACAATCATTATAATAGTTTCTATCATGTCGTAGATCATAAAAGCTTCGGCGTCATACGTGTCGGTGTTGCACGCGATGTATTGAGGCCTAAATATGTACTTTGAACGGCGCTTGTATATCCTCGCATGTAAAAGGCTATAGTACTTACTTTTACACAATTGACAATTTTCTCATTCAGAGACTCAATGGGGTTTCGTATTGAGTGTATGCGAGTAGAGGAACAAGAAAATTATTTACCGAAGCATCGATTCGTGATAATCTTGGTTTGTAGTGCATTAAGCACACAGCTATAAATACAATGTTGATCTTCTCGTTCAATGTACTTTGTCAGACATAATAAAATTAAAATAAAAGCATTTTTTAAAATCAGAAATTTAATTTAATTATTCAACGTCATGAAAATTTTTTTATATTTATAACTAAGATCAAATTTAAAAGACTTTTTTTTAAGAATTTATTTTCATGTGTAAAAAATTAATTTCAACACTATTAAATTTATAGTGTCAAACTGAATCTTATTTAAGTCGCCAAATTGCCCTTACTTAATAAATAGTTTTTTACTAAAATAATGGAGTTAAATAATTTAAAACAGTTTAAATTTAACCCAAATTTTGGTTAAATTCCATTGTTTT